GTATACATAGGAAAGAACCCTTATTGTCTAAATTTTTAGATGAGCAAAATGTTGATATCTGTCTACTCAACGAAACTTGGTTGAAAGATACTCAGCATTTTAAAATTTCGGGATATAATTCCCACTATCATAACGCCCAAAATGAGCACGGTGGAGTAGCAATTTTGATCAAACCGTATTTTAAATATAATATTATTCAAACCAGATTTTACCAAGACATTCAAACTGTGGCATTATCGTTATATGTAAGTGGTAAACGATTAACGATTTTATGCGTATACTGCCCTCTTTCGAATGGCAACTTCAGAATTAGTATACTGTGTGATGTAATTAGAGATTTGCCTAAGCCTGTGGCTGGAGATTTCAATGCTCACCTGAACCTGAATCTTTGAAAACACAGTGTGTAATTCCTCTACTTAAGCTTGACAAGCCATCTGAAGATCCTAACTCATATCGTCCCATATCATTGTTATCTTGTATTGGAAAGCTTAATGAAAACATTTTTTTATAGGATAAGGGTGACAAACGAGCACACAGTCCACCTGATGGTAAGTGGTTGCTTCGGCCCATAGACATCTACATCTATCCTCCATTACAAATCAAAATGTAGATGCGCCGCCACCCGTGAGGACCAAGATGGAATGCCTCATTTCCAGTAAAAAGGGCCTCCGGCCACCTGCATTCACCAAGCGAAACGCAGAGGTAAACCTCTACTTCACGCTGGTTTTCTGTGAGGTCGTGGTACCACCCCGGTTCGAGCCGGCCCATCCGTGCGACAGCAAAAGCTGCCGCGTGGCTCTACCACTGTTAAACATAACATGATAAAGATGCGTCTTGAGTATTATGTACGAGTAGAGGCAAACAATATCATTCCACATGTTCAATATGGCTTCTGGAAAGGGCGAAGCTGCGCTGACAGCTTCATGTCTCTCTTATCAGATCTGATATATGCCAATAATAACAATAAGTCCAGTGTTTGTGTTTTTTTGGATGTTCAAGGTGCGTTTGATAATGTTGACCCTGGAATTTTGGTTCAAGTTCTTTCTGACATTGGTATACCAGGCATACTTTGCCATTGGTTATTTAATTTTTTAACAGATAGAACTTTGTATATAAGGCATAATAATATTCTCCATGGTCCGAGAAGGGTCTCCAAAGGTACAGTGCAGGGGGCTACATTAACTCCATTGCTGTACAATATATTATATACTAGTTAAATACTTAATTTTGTAAATATAGAAGGTGTAAATATTTTACAATTTGTGGATGATCTTGTAATATATTGTACAGATCATAATGTAGATAGAGCTGTAAATAGTATAAATAAAGCTTTAGATCAATTGTACATATATTATAATGACAAGTTGGCTCTACAGATTAACCCCAACAAGAGCAAGGTCATGCTTTTTGGTAAAGATTTTCCCTCTAATGGCATACTCTACAATAATCATCCAATTTCAGTTGTACCTAACCATAAATTCTTGGATGTTGTTATTGATAACAAACTTTGTTTTGATTTACACATCAATCACATTATAAATAACTCTCTTAAGGGCTTAAATATTATAAGATGTTTAGCTGGTGTGACTTGGGGTGCAGACCCTAAAGTTTTAAGTATGCTATATAAATCTATAGTCAGAAGCCACTTCGACTACAGTTGTTTAGCCTACTCTAATAGTAGTTGTGTAAAAAAAACTAACAAAACAAAACAAAGCTCTGTTTATTATTTCTGGGGCTATGTGTTCAACTCCCATACGAGCTATGGAAGTTGAAACCAAAATAAAGCCACTGTGTCTTAGAAGACTTTTGTTAATAGAGAGATATTTACTAAAGCTGTTATCTGATAATGATAATCTTCTCAAAAAAATAGTAACTTTTCCTGTACAATGCTTGGCCCAACAGACTTCGGGAGGTGAGCTTTTACGAGGTTATTTCCCAGTTCTGCCTCTCATTGTACTGCAAATGAATGAAGATTTTAAAAATGTAATTAAACATTCAAAGTGGACATGCTACTCATACCTATATTCCTGTATTATATTTGAGACCAATATTGTTACTAAAAATTTTTTTAATAATTGTGAATTATTAAGTTTTCTTTCCGACAATAACTACTATACTCTGTATACAGATGGTAGCAAAAGTGTGCTCTTTGTGCGCAGTGCTGTTTATGATCCCCAATCCAAGTTTGGTCAAAGTTTTCTTTTATACCCTAAATGCAGTGTTTTCACTGCAGAGGTGTATGCGGCCCTCGAGGCCCTGAAGAGGTAATCCTCTTCAGGGCCTCGTATAAATAGTTTTAATAATTTTTTGATTTTAACAGACAGTTTAAGTATGGTCCAAAGTTAAACCAATCTCAGATTTGACTTTAAAAAGAACTATATTTTGTATGATATTAAAAAATTGTTATTTAGTTATGCACCAAAGGGTATACAAGTCTCTTTAATGTGGATTCCATCAGATAGGGGCATAACAGGAAATGAGATAGTAGATAAAATTGTACGTGATGGAACCAACATGTTGGATGTTAGCTCCATAGTAAAAGTACCTTTGACCGACTGTTATCAATCTATTGACAACCAGATCAATAGTTTATGGGTCGAATTTTGGAAACAAGACCAAGAACAGAAGAGTAAATGGCATGGGAATGTTCAAGAAAACCTACCTGTAGCACCATGGTATAACAAACTGAAAATGGCTAGTCGGGACTTTATTCCAACTATAAGGCTGGCTTTTCACTATGGGATATAATATATATTATATGCCGAAATATAAATTACATCCCGCGATTGGCTTTCACACTCCGAGATATATCTTTTAACCAGTGTGAATTCGTCATTGGTCATTAGATTACCCCCCTTTACCCCGTACACCGTCTGCGGGGGCACGGAACGTTGTGCGGGGTACATGGGGCGAAATATAGAATGAAAATATCGCTCGGTCAATCGAAAAAATATTTATAGCTTGAGATGTAATATATATTATAGCACAGTGTAAACGGTTCCATATAAAATGTATGGTGAGCGATATTAATTTATATCTCGAGATATAATATATATTATATTATATCCCGTAGTGAAAAGCGGGCTTAAACAGATTACGTTTTGGTCACTCCACCGTCCCGGTCCACCTGGCTCGGTTGGGCATAGTGGAGAGCAGCTACTGCACTTTCTGCAATAATTATGTTGGTGATATCGAACATTTCATATTTATGTGTGAGTGCTTTTCATTTGACAGATTGTTTCTTGTCAGTGATATTAGTGACATAGTGCAAAATCAAGTGACAGTGCAAGATTCCTCCCGCCTCCTGAGTGATATTTTAAAAAATAGATCTATTACATGCCTCTATATAAATTCATCAAAAATACAGTGGGGAAATTATAATAAACCGAATTAAAAATACTTAAGACTTGGCCTAAAGGTCTAGATACCAGGCCATAAACTCCAAAAATAAAATTGGTGACTGCTCTTCCGTCTACGGTGACTTGACGGTGACTGACGATTGTCTAGGCTTGGGCAAAAAATATAGATATATATCATAATAATAAAAATATCGATATATATCGTCGATATTATAATTCGCGATATATCGACATATCGATATTTAATTTAAATTACCATCAAGTAATCTCGGCAGATTACTTGATAGGGAAGCTTGCGCATTGCCGTAGGAATCCAACTAGGAGCGCCGATTTGTCAACCCCATCAGTGCCCCTGTGGTAGCAGCGTCGACAAGTTTGGGCTCCACGGACTTTCATGTAAGAAAAGCGCTGGTAGGTTTTCACGACACAGTTCTTTGAACGATGTCATCCGAAGGGCTCTTGCCTCTATAAATGTTCCCTCGGTTTTAGAGCCTTGTGGAATATTTACAGACTATGGCAAGAGACCCGACGGTATGACATTGGTCCCTTGGGATAGAGGTAAAGTCGCAGTGTGGCATGCTACTTGCGTAGACACTCTGGTGGCCTCTCAACTCAGGGGTACCTCGTTTAAAGCCGGGGCGGCATCAGAGGCAGCTGAACTGAGTAAGTGGCGCAAATATGAGTCTCTGAGAGATGACTACATATTTGTGCCATTTGCTGTAGAGACTATCGGTCCGTGGGGTCCACGTGCGGTGAAGTTCCTAAAGGAACTCCATCCGCGGCTGGTCGTTGCTGCTGGTGATAAGAGGGCTGGTTCCTTCCTCGCTCAAAGGCTAAGTATAGCCATTCAGCGGGAAAACGCAGCCAGCGTTCTTGGCACGATGCCGCGGGTAGTAGGACTATATGATGATTAAGTTTCTAGTTTTAATTTTTTTTTTATTATCATAGTTTTTAATATTGTGGATAAAATTAAGTATTATGTAGAATTTTATCCTATCTTAATAAATAAATATTTGAAATTTAGAGTATCGAATTCGTATCAATTTCGATATATTTTTATCGTTTTTTTCGTCGTCAAACCGTCAGTAAATAAAATTTTGGACTTTATCTTTACATCATTTAAATGATGATATATCGATATTTATCACGCGATATATATCGATACTGTTTAAAAATATAGATTTGATATATATCCATATATTTTTTCCCTTTACGCATCCCTACGATTGTCTTCTGATTTTTGTTATGTGACGTATGCTGTCAATATCAATTACTGTCAACTGTCAGCTGTCAATTTATGAACACAGACCATTCACGGTTTCTGCAATTTGTCTTTCTTTTTAAAGCAGCACGTGTAGACGCGGTCGACTTGCTTATCATCGTATTATACTGATATAGGTATATAATTATTTTCCGATATTGTCATTGTAAAATGTCGCTGCACTAATCAGGAAGTCCTTAATCTTGTATGAAGTGATGAAAACGAATGGATAGCTATCGTGTAAAGATTTAATAACGCAAGTTGAATCACTGAAGTAACCCAACTGCAATTCAATAATAAAATTTTAGATCTCAACTGTTTCCTTTTTAAGTTCAGACAATTTACTAATCTTTTAACAGTTTAGGGTTATAATCAACACAATGCCGTCGGATGCAAAGAAACGAGCACAACAAAAGAAAAAGGAACAAGCGAGCAACCGGAACAAAAAGCCTGTCGCAAGAGTAACGGCGGAGGAAAATGGATCTGCGACCAACGGCACAGCGCCCGGGGATCGAGAATTGACTGCTGAAGGTAACCTCGTTTCTGAAACTTTCAATTTCTTTCTCAATACAATATTCTTCATTGTATTTTCTAAAAAAGATAAAACAAAATGTTTCGCATATTGTTGCCATAGAATTCCATTCTCAATTTTGTTTCTATCAATTTTATTTTTTACAATTGTTTACCCTAATCATTTGAATCAGAGTTTATGTTTACAAATTATATATATCTGAATCTTTAGGGGTATATATAAAGATGTCCACCATGCCAATTTTCGACGACGTTCGCGATAACATTCAAAAAGTCTGAAATTATCAACTGCACTTGGAATACTGTACACTTGTTTACAATCACAAAGGCATTCTCATTTACCTAACCTTCTATTGCTTAATGTGACACATAGGAAATAAAATTGTACATAGGCAAATATTAACTAAAAACACCAGTAATTTGTGTATTAATTGATGATTTTGGTGATGAACTGATGACCTATTTATTCTCTCAAATATCAGTGATATTTATTATTCTTTGTTGGGTGCAGACTTCCATGGTATTTTTAAAGATGAAACTATGATTAATTTCAGAGGCATTATGCTTGAAATTGGAAGCCGAAGCTAAAATGAATTCAGAAGCACGTTCATGTACTGGGACTTTGGCAGTTCATCCACGCTCTAGAGACATAAAGATTGCTAACTTCTCCATCACATTTTATGGCAGTGAATTGCTACAAGATACTCTTCTGGAGTTGAACTGTGGAAGAAGATATGGCCTTGTTGGATTAAATGGATGTGGTCTGTTTCTTTTTTTATTAGTAATATTAGCGGTTTTTAGCTATCATGTTGAATTTGAATTTTTCCACCTGATTATAATGTTTGTGTCTTCAAGGCAAAAGTGAATAGGCTTTTTTTAAGCTTATTTAATGCATTTTGAAATTTTTGTCTATCAAATTTGAATATGTAATTTTCTCAGCTTTTTGACTAGTTTAACCTATACATATATTTATAGGGCTGTAGTTGCTTAATGAAAATATAATTTTGGTTGATTGTAAATAATGCTTGAGCTCTTATAAAATCTTTTTTTTTTTGGTTTGGTTATTAATTGTTATTTTAGATGTACAATTTCTGTGTCATTCTAAGTGTTGAATATTCATTTAACTGTATATAATTTTTTTTATTATGATAGCTAAAAATACATAATGTCCTCCAGACCCAATGTTTGTTATGGTGGCCAGTGTCTATGAGGACTACCCATCTGTGTAGGATAGGATTATTGTGCACAAGTGTGTGTGCAAGCATGGGTGCAATCTCTATTTTAGGAAATAGACCCTCATAGTCCAATGGGACTGAAATCTGATATAACTCAAGAGAGATCAGGCACAGGATATATCGCTTTGTGCTTACTTAGGCACAGGAGTTAAAATACCACAAACTTCCTGACTCCAGGCTGCCACTGAGAATATCTTGACAGAAAAAAACCCAATAACTGATTAAAGCTCAAACTGGGTATCAAACTTGAGGCCATATGAACAACAATCATGGTTACGATCACTAAACCAATAAAGCAGTCCAGATACATAACAGATAAACTGTAGATTTTAAGAAAAAGTTAATTGTGATTGATTTAATAGCTTAATATAAAATTGTAATACAAATATTCATATTTTACCTGAAGAAAAAACTATAATTGTTTTGGACGGTCATGTATTGGGTATAGAATATTTTATAATATTTTTTTATTAATTTGATAGATCCAATTATAAAACTTGTCGTAAATATTCATTGGTGGAGATGGCCCCCTTTCTAAAGTAGGTATAATTCCATGAGTTGCTACTCTTGGCATCTCTCTGATTCCTGTTTTGGGCTTTTCAATAAGTCACCTTTTTCAAGATTTATAAGATGAGATGAAACAGAAACAGAAACAGAAACTTTTTTATTCAATATAGATTATAAATAATACTTATTGAAAGTCATTCTTTTGTTTGATTACCACTGGTTCGGAAAAAACCTCTGTCCTGGGAAGAACCAGCAAGAAACCCAGCGGGACTTTTTTTTTTAAATAACAGCTTACAATCATGATGTTACACAAATTAACAACACAACAAATTAGAAATAGCTTGGTAGCGATCACCTCATTTCCAGGGGTTATTATCATCCATAAATTCCTTAATATTATAATAACCCTTTTTATACCAACTTAGTTTAATAAAGTTTTTGAACTTTGAACAGGCCAAACTTTGTATATTTTCTGGAATTTTGTTGTAAAAGCGTATACATCGCCCCAAGAATGAATTACTGACTCGATGGAGTCGAGTAACTGGTACTACTAGCTTGTGTCTGTTCCTAGTATTTACAGAATGAATATCACTTATTTTTATAAAACTACTTTTATTTTTGTGTACGTACATTAAATTTTCATAAATGTATTGAGAGGCCAAAGTTAATATATTAATTTCCTTAAATTTTTGTCGCAGCGACTCTTTAGGCTTTAAATCATAAATTGCTCTTATGGCCCTCTTCTGCAAAACAAATATAATTTCTGTGTCAGCTGCGTGTCCCCATAGCAAAATACCATACGACATTATGCTATGGAAGTAGCTGAAGTAAACTAGTCTAGCTGTTTCAACACTGGTTAGACTTCTAATCTTTTTTACAGCATATGCTGCAGAACTAAGTCTGCTTGCTAGTTTTGATATATGGGGGCTCCATTGAAGCTTCGCGTCTAGTGTGATTCCAAGAAAAAAGGATGAAGTGATAGTTTCTTTTATGTTACCACCAAAGATATGTAAGAGTACCAAAATTGTGACAAAAATCTTGCATAATTTCCTGAGTATTTATTTGTTCATATGTATCATAATCAATCTAAAGAAATATGATTAGTATTACAATGTTTTCATTATCAAATACATTATTTTTAGTTTCATGCTATTGGCATTTCAAATTTATTTGTGTTGTTGTTTGCTTTTCTAATTTATTATTATTATATGCTGATCCTGTATGATAATATTGTATCTAGCAAGCAAAGCAATGCGAATATAAATTTATTTGTCTAGATTTGTAACTGTAGATTTGTGTATTATAGGAGAAGCTGCAATCAGCATTGGAAATAAGGTACATTTAAGGCTTTGTTCACACTTTTGAATTGCCAAGTGGAATAGCGATGCGAGTCCAAAAATTCATAAGTTATTTTAATTATTAAAATGAGCTTATTATTATAGGCTTATTTAAATGAGATACATGGAAACTATTTTATTCATTTTCATCTACCTGCAAAAGTCACTGGACATAGGCTTCTTTCATTACAGGGAGGATCTCCCTTTGAGATGGTTTTACTGTCATCTATAAGAATTGATACATTTTTCAGGCATTACTTGCAGTAGCCTCTTAAGACACCTATGGGACAAAATTGAATGATGGATTCCCTTACACTGGTACACTATTTTATTTACCATTAGAGATTTTATTAAATCACCTTTAATTAAACACCTATATGAAATAATTGCTGTGCAAATTTTGCATGTTATGGAATTCATGACTGATTCTTAAATCTATAATATAAAAATGAATCGCTGAATGTGTTGCTAAGCGCAAATCTCGTGAGCAGCTGAACCGATTTCGCTAATTTTTTTTTATAATATTCGTTGAAGTACGAAGATGGTTCTTACGGAGAGAAAAATATAAAAAATTGCCTCAAAAAGTCTAAAAACAACACTTTTCTATATTCCTATACAAAAGATTCGTAATAATACTTAAAGTCAATTTGAACTTTAATACCATACCATAAAGTTTAAGTTTTAGTGGAGGGGTTCCGGGACGGCACAACAATTGAGTGACGTTAGTATAGTATAAATATTAATGTCAATATTTATAAGATGATAACATTACTCAAAAACAAAATTAGGGTTCCACGCAAAAAAATTGATATCCATGAAATCGTAGTAAATTCCACGCGGGTGATGTCGCGGGGCCCAGCTAGTATTCCAATAAAAGTTATCCATGAAATAAACTTTAAACTGACGGAATATATAAGTAAACAATTGAACTTCATTATTCATACAACTGTCATTTCTAGATTGTTTATGTTTGATTTATACTACGAATAACATTTATCTGAATATAGAAATATCAGCTCTCAGATCAAAGTCACAAACAATTACAAAATTAACATTTACTGTGAAACCTAGTGGAAACGAATGTGAAATCCTAGTGTGGAGGTAACTTTTTTTTAAATAAGGAAAAAGGAAACTGATCAATGAAGATTGAAGGCTATCAATTAGCTTAATTTTTTTTATATTATCTCTAGAAATATTGTAGACCTGTAATTTTTAATTGTAAATTTTGTAACATATCAATAATTTAAATACTATAAATAGACTTCATATGAATTATCACAGTAGTTTTCAACATCATCGTTCTTAGGTGGTAAACAAGTATTTATTTGTCACTTATACCACCACCACTTGACGACTTCTTTGATCTGTGTTGAAAATTGTATTATCAGAAATCTCACCTTGCCATCATTTTTTAATCTCATCTTTGCAACTGCTATGTTGCCAGTCTGATGATTTAAAATTTGGGTATATATAGATAATTATACAGCTATCTATTGGATGCTAAGGTCATTTGAGCATGGAGCATTTTCCGCTATTGACTGTAAACATCTAGAGATGAGATGGTAAGCTGAATGTCATTATGTGCCGAGTTAGCAGATATTTTTAGCATTTGACAATCCATCTACATACATATGTACTGCTTTCAAATATTATTTATATACAAGTTTCTGCTATGGTAATCAGCAACAACACCCACATAATGACTATGATGTATCTTGTATTATGACTTAATAAAAACATAAAATTATAGCTTTAATAAAAAAAAATTTAATGCAATTATAAAAATAATGTGAATTATGAAATTTGTTTTACAATAAAATCTAAAAATAGATTTATTTTATAGTTTAAAAATGTCTATTGTGCTTGGTCTACTGTTTAACTTGATTTGGTTTGGTGTGAGTTCCTGAGGTGTGTGAGAGATGACGGATGAGATAACAGTACTATAAGCAGACGCTTGAGTGACCCATCACTGCACCCCTCCCGCAACATGCAGTTATAATGCCACTACTATAAAAAGTGCTTTAATTTTGTTTCATCTGCCTTTGAGAAACAGTAAGATATTTTTGGAGTGAATTTTTGCCATAATTGCGAATTGTTTAATATGCATCCTTTATTAGGTCATTTAATAAATTCCAACTGCTTCGATTTTATTAATGAAAAAGTATTTACACAGGTAAGTCGTCGCTGCTTTCGGCTCTTGGACGTCGTGAAGTGCCTATTCCTCAACATATCGACATATTTCACCTGACGCGAGAGATGCCCGCCTCAGATAAAACTGCTCTACAGTGTGTCATGGAGGTGGACGAGGAAAGGATTCAACTTGAGAAATTGGCAGAGGAATTAGCACATTGTGAAGATGATGGTAAGGATTATAGATTAAAATCATTATTTAGAATTTATAAAAAATAATATTCAGTTATATTTTTTTAACTTACCAATACAATGATTATTTACAAAACAGAGTAATGAAAAATAAAATTCCCAGCTTGTAATTGATTGTCTTCCTGATTGAGATTTGGCCACGCTAGCCTTTCATTGACTTTGCAGAATATATTATAATGTCACATGTGTATGTATAAACCCAGAGGAGTCACTTGTACCAATTTAACATTTATGCAATAAGATCAGAGGTAGGTTAAAAGATCAGAAATACTGGGATGGACAAAAATCTGACCCAAAACCACCGATGTATGTTTTGCACAAATGTTGGCTCCAGCTGTTATTTGAAAGCCAAGTATTTGGTGATTGTTTTCGAAATAGTTATCAACCTGCTTTGCTAATAGACTAAAATGATTTAGTGTCAGTCTTGTCTGATCATGTTTATATATGTTTAAGCTAATTTAAAGTAATTACATGTTATGAGCATGGACAAGATATTCAGGCTGCAACTAATTTAAAGAATACGAAGATGCGACCGAGCTAGACAACGGAGAGGGACAACTGCTGCATGGATTGATAATATCTACAAATAATAGACAAAACGTCATCCAGTGCATGTGGCTTACTTATTCCCGATCATTTCAGTGTGCCCCTCGTACAATAAAGTAAATAAATCTATACAAATAAAAACATAAATAGCTTTGATAAGAATAAAGATGTTCATACTTTAAACACTTCAAACAACATAAGCTTGTAATACCAGTTACTAGACTTTTTTGTAATTCATTTATGGGTCAATGGTAATAAATAAGTTTAAATGTTTTATTAAAGAAAAATAGAAAGGTTATTATAATATCAAAGAATACATAAGTGAAAAGAACCCCGGGAATGAGGTGATCGCCACCATGCTGGTTCTATTAAAACTCATTTAAAATTTGTACAAACAAAAAACTAAATTATTATAAAGTGTAATATGTTTTAAAAAGTCTCACTGGGTTTTCTTGCTGGTTCTTCCCAGGACAGAGATATTTTCCAAATCAATGGTAAATAGAAAAATGATTTTCAATAAGTATTATGTAATAATCTATATTCTATTCTATTCTATAATGGTATTTAAAAAAGGTTTGCTCTAGAAAATATGTTTGTATAGACTTAAAGTTGTGGTTCTTATATGTAATTAATTATTAGGACAGAACCTTTAAAACTTCATATGTAACAGCAATAAGTGCATATTTAACACATGATAGATGTTAAAGGTCGACATTGTAAATTTATGTTTCTGTGATTAAAAATATATTTTGAACCAATATAAAATACGCAAACCTAGTCTTGAGTAACTTTGCTAACCATCCATTTACACTTTCAAAATCAATGACACATCTTATGTTTTTAGAATCACAAGAACAATTAATGGATGTTTATGACCGTTTGGAGGACCTGAGTGCCGATACGGCCGAGGCACGTGCTGCACACATTTTACATGGTCTTGGATTTACTAAGGAGATGCAACAAAAGGCCACCAAGGACTTCTCTGGAGGTAAGTTCTTATTTTGTTTATTTTATTTGTGTAATGCATATTTTCATTTTGTAGTGGTGGTGTAAGAATAGCCACTAACCCGTATCGCCTTGTGATAACAAAGGGATACCTGGAGATAGGTAAGACCGTTTTTCTAATAACAACGAAAAGTAAACTGCAGTTGCCAACATGTCTGCGAAACATGTCAACTAAGGCAAAATAATGAGGCTGTCTATGGTAAGGCCTATTTCCAGCAATGTACCATGACAGGCAATAAATGTATGAAAAAAATATATATGTGCTGGTAACTATAAGACAGCCCAGTACTAGAAGATAATATCAACTTTAAACTTTAATCCTACAATGTCAAAATTTGTGTCACATATTATTGATCCAGACTCAAATTTCGATGGAGTTTAAGCTCAAGATTGTATCTGAATATCAGTGTTAGTGAACAATGCTGAATTTTCCACTCTCTCTCTCTCTCTCTCTCTCTCTCCCTCTCCCTCTCTCTCCCTCTCTCACACACACACACACACACACACAATGTGAATAGAAAAAGACGGGTATAGATATTATTAATAGTTAATTAATGTAAGCAGTAAACTGATATATGTATAAGTAAGGCTGCAACTTATTTGTTTAATATGAATTTGAATTTGAATAATATTTGATTGCCAATTGGCGTCATTATTAGGTAATTTCTATGTACATGTACATAATCACATTGTAAATTATAATGTGAAACTGGCACCTGATTGATACCAGTGTATAGATTCGCTTTTTGACAATTATATGATGTATGCTTGGAAATTATATGTGCTTGTATCAAACAGTAACAACTGAATGAAAAATAAATTAATTGGGTGGTACAATTAGGGTTGCTTCCCTGGAATATTGAAGTTCTCAAACAGGCTGAAACATGTTTAATGCTTATGTTGGCTCATGTCAAAGTGCATAATTGCCTTTAATTATGACATGTAAGAAAGAACACTGTGCATCTACATCTATCTTCAATTAAGAATCAAAATGCGGATACGTTGTTATCCCTGAGAACTTAGAATGCCTCATTTCCAGTATCCTATCTTAATTGTATTCCCATACCCTTTTCATCCAAAAGATTGGTAAGATAAATCTGAAAATAATGTAAATATTGATCTATAGTATAGTATAGTGATGGCACCTGTGGGGTGTGTAATGTGAATCACCAACTATGCACGTGTTGACCGATTTTTCAACCATAACATAAATTCCTGTACAGGTTGGCGGATGCGAATTGCATTAGCTCGCGCTCTATACGTGAAGCCACATCTTCTACTACTGGATGAGCCGACTAATCATCTTGATTTAGATGCCTGTGTATGGCTTGAAGAGGAATTGAAACAGTTAGTATATTATATATATATATCTATATATCATCTACTACAATCTATTTGCCCCATGATAGTTCGGATAATTAAAACAAACAAATTACAATATTTTTGAATTATTAGTGATGACACAAAAATATTCTAACTTTTGTTCATTTAAAAATGTTGTACTGAAGTATTTTGTTGAAAGGTACTTAATGTATGCCAGGCTCATTACCCTTGATCTTAATTGCTATTTACAAACATGATTATTGAGAAAGTAAAGTAAATAATTAAAAATTAAAAAATTTGTACAACTGACTTCAGTATAAATTATTAATAACAACTCAAAAACAATTGGTCAGATCTTGATCAAATTCTACATGTGAAGCATCAGCCTTCAAATAAAAAAAAGAATCATTGAAATCAGTTCACCCAGTAAAAAGTTATGAGGTAACGCACATAATAAAACATACAGTTGAACTGAGTACTTGTCTCCTTTTTGAATTCGGTAGAAAATAATCTTTCGTGAGTGGTGACAACAGAAGAATATTATATAATATACTTGTATATCTGTTCATATCATATTCTTGGTACATTATGTAAAAGTAACAGGAAATTATGTGTTGGATTAAAAAAAAAATATATATATATATATATATATATATATATATATATATATATATATATATATATATATATATATATATATATATATATATATATATATATATTCATGCATGACATATTATAGAGTACAATTTTTTGCTATTGTTATTACACAAATAAAATCAGTTTGTGTTATTATTAAAATTTTAATTATTTATCTGAGTTGATTAATATATTGTATCATCTTTTCAGATATAAACGCATTCTGGTGTTGATATCTCACTCACAGGACTTTCTCAACGGCGTTTGCACCAATATTATTCACATGAGCAAGCGCCGTCTCAAATATTACACAGGAAATTATGAGGCGTTCGTACGTACCCGAATGGAATTACTCGAGAATCAAATGAAACAATACAACTGGGAGCAAGATCAAATTGCTCATATGAAGGTACTAATTTAATTTGATTGAAACTCATGCAGCTTATATGTTTGAATATTGAGAAGAATTGAAACATGCTGTATTGCTATATATTATTGTATATTTATTTGTGGCACGCAACTAAGAAAATCTATTTCACTTAGCACTATCATAGATTTGTATATTGAAATATTGATAATTGGTATATCTTTCTAACAATTTTTACATCAATAGAATAATTTGATATAAGCGAACTATAGTTCTATATAGTCTTCGACGGTTTACAGTCATGAGTGGACATTTTATCTACTACTTAACACATACCTCTCTTAAAGATTTTTAGAGATTTTTGTCTGTTTGTCTGTGCATATTATGTGCATTATATGCGGGCTAATCTTCACATTAGCTGAACCAATTTCGAATTAGTTCCCAGTGATGTATTGAGAAAAAATTGGAATAATATTAAGTATTTCTTTCATTTAAATCATTTGACAAATAATTGTTAAAGTGCGTAACGCGTGCGCTCATCGTGATATGTGGACAAGGCGGAAAAATAAGGCCTTGCTCCGCTGCTTTAACAATAAGGGCTAACCAAATGATTGGATATACAATATCCTTATTAAATCTTTATTAAAAATATAGAAGATCTTTATTAAACAAGAAGATATTATATATATATTTCATCATAATATGTTTTTTACGTATATATGTATATTTGTGTGTATATATGTATTTATATGTAAATTTGTGTATATATATATATGTGTGTATGTGGTTATATATATATATATATATATATATATATATGTATGTATGGTATATGTATTTTTTTTACCTTTATGTTTATATGCTATAATTTATAAATTCATTATATTTCTTATTCTTTACTGTTATGTATTATAATAACCGCCTTCGATGTTTTTCCACTCCTCAAGGTTGACAGGCAGAGAATGCTTTAAGCATTATGTCCGCCTTTTGTACTTATATATTTTATAAGGTTCAAAAAATTTAAATAAATAAATAAAATAAACAATCCTCATTTAGTCAGTATTTTAATTTCGTTTATTTTTAATTTCCATTTGTTGTGTTATGTTTGCATTGTATTGTCTATGCATTGTTGTTGTATTGCTGGTTGATATTGGTTGTGTCCAATCACCGATTTTTTAAAAGCAGTTTCCAATCAGCTTATGTTACAAGTTATCAAAAAAGGGCTGGGCCAGATGCTTAGAGTGATCGGTATGGGCTATGGTATTAAATATTATAGTTCCGTCTTGGAGAGTCCCATGTTTCATCTGTGGTCTTGTATTAGCTGAAAAAGAAAAAGCTTTTAATACATTGGTTCAAAGATACATATGTAATGCATTTAAAATGAATGTCTCTTTTATAGTCATTCATAATAATTTTCTTTGTTTTCTTCCAATTTTCTTTGTTTAGGCCCAATGATTGCTTGTGTAGTAGTTGTCCGTCCATCCATAACAACCTATAAAAGTCCTCCGCTGAAAATAGGCTTCCCTACAGATTGTCTCATAGGTGGGAGTTTGCCATAGATTGTGTTCAAGCGAGTGCTTGAACACAATCCCACCTGGTGGTAAGTGGTGATGCAGCCTTAGATGGTAAATCGCACTGTCTTATCGTAAGAAAAGCCTATTCACTCTTGCCTTGAAGAAGCCCAGATTGTATTCGGACGGAAAGATAGATGCCGGCAAATTATTCCACTCCTTTGCTGTACGCATTACAAAAGACGAAGCAAACCGTTTGGTTCTAATGCGTGGAATATCGACAACAAAGGGATGAAGACGCGCCGACCGTCTGGTTGTCCGATGGTGGAAATGAGAGGGAGGAATTAAAGCGTGTAATTCCTGCGCACACTCACCGAAATGCATCCTATAGAATACCGAGAGACTGGCTACTCTGTGTCTGTGCACGAGGCTGACAAGATTGGTTTCAACCAAATTAAGATGCCGGCTTGTACAATTATCATTGTTCAAGCCAGCATCTTCTGAACTTACACACAAATTCGTCACATTCACATAAATTATTAAAAAAATAAGACTTGTTTAATTCATGATTTATATAATTTATGTAACTCCAAAAGTAATAAATCATTTAAAATTAAAAATTTTGTACCACCGACTTCAATATAAATGATTAAGAATAACTTAAAAACTATTTGTCAGACCTTGATCGAATTTACCACACAAGAAGCACCAGCTTTCAAATAAATAAAATAATAATCTAAATTGGTTCACCCAGAAAAAGGTATGAAGTAACACATAAAAAATACATTCAAATTGAGTACCTTTTTTAATGTCGGTAGAAAAATGAAATAAACAAATTATAATTAAAAAAATGTAAAAGTTCGATTATTTGTATATTTTTATTAATTATTCACATTAACATGAATCTTAATCATCCAAAGACCAGTGGGGTGCATAATGACATTGCGGTATTTCTTAGATTTAGTTGAGTAATGAGTAACTACAAGCTACTGTCCCATTGTAATAAATATATTATGTGAGTGCCACAATATAATACAAATAATGTAAGTGTAAAAATGAATTTTCATATTAGTTTTATTCAAGCATAGATGAGATGCCTATGGGGTCACAGCAACCACCTACTGCCCATTTTGCATCACTAATAATAATAAAATTCTTTATTCAGACAAGTATAGATTGACACGTGTTCAATTATCTTTATTTAAATAATTCTTCATTAATGTGTTTGTGACTGAATCCCTCCTAAAAGGTTGGACCTATTTTGAAATTTTTGTGTGTCCCTGATCCCTTAATGGTTTATATTCACAATTGGACCTTGATACCAGTGATATTTATGAGAATAAGATAATAATAAAGTTTATAAGCATGTATACACATTACATATATGTATGTATGTATTATTGTATGTAAATATACGTATATATATTTAAATATATGTTGTGTATGTATGTACTATGTATATATTATATTTTAATATATGTACACTTAATTTATATATTATGTTTCGCACCTGCCTACAATTGTCTTTGGCATCCAGGGTTGGACTGGCAGATAATGCCATATGGCATTAAGTCCGCCCTACTTTTACCTTAAGGTGTTACATTTAAGTTTTCAAATGAATAAATAATATTATTAATAAAAATAACAATTAAGATTTAAGTGTCACATAAAATATTTATTCTTTCTGTGACAGAACTACATCAGCAGATTCGGTCACGGTTCAGCGAAGCTTGCTCGTCAGGCTCAATCAAAAGAGAAGACTTTGGCCAAAATGGTTGCACAAGGTCTAACCGAGAAAGTGGTTGATGACAAAATCTTAAACTTTTACTTCCCCTCCTGCGGGAAGGTACCCCCGCCCGTTATCATGGTGCAGGTAAGTGCTTTACAATTTCAACAGTATGTAGCACAATTCTTTATCCATATTATCTTAACTTAGGCATCCTCTAAACCAACCTCAGCTGGAGCCAGTATTTATATGAAAACACCAATTATTAATTTTGGATCTGGTTGCCTTTTTGCTGTTAGATACTCATTTGCTTTTCATTCATTATTTTACTAGGTACTATGACATCTTTGATTAGCTTTTCTCAAGTTGATCAGCAAAGAAAATATCATTATTTACAGGATTTCTTAATATTACAAAGGTGAAAAAATATTGTAATTGTAAAATCTCTTTTAAATTGAAATATTTCAATTTTGACGTTTTTTAAATTTTTTTGTAAAGAAAAGTTAAATATGATTTTAAAGGTAATCAAAACATTCATAAATTCAAAAATAATCATTCACATAATTTTAAAAAGTCACTGAGACTTGAATCAATGCACATAAATGCGTAAAAATAACTCCTAACTTTGAAATATTGACCAAAATCACTTTGTAAATCAGCACATAAAGACTCGAATTATATTTTTATAAAGAATTCATAAATTATTTCACAGCCGTCTGTCACAGTGGCGGCGTAAGAAAATCCACTGCTTTATATCAAATTACATTAAAACTTAAATTATATTAAAACTTAAAACTGAAATAGTTCTGGTTAGATAGAAGGTTTCTGATAGGAGGTTAGACCAGTTAGATTCTGGTCAACAGCATCTTCCTGATAACAACTGAAAATAGACTGTTGTTACTAACTTGCTTGTCAAGTGTAGTAACCATGGCAAAATTCCTCTGAGCCTATCTGGCTGTAATGAAAAGAAAATTAATTTACTGTTTTAAATGTATAGGCACTAATTATTTTCAATATTTCTTTCAGAATGTATCATTTAGGTATACAGATAACGGACCCTGGATTTATAAGAACTTGGAGTTTGGTATTGATCTAGATACTAGAATCGCTCTTGTCGGCCCTAACGGAGCTGGCAAGTCAACTCTACTGAAATTACTTTATGGAGATGTAAGTTTATAACAGTAAAAATCTGTACAGCTTTTTATATGCAAATGCTCAGAGTTCTATTATTTATAAATTAATTATAAGCTAAGCTACTTTTTGCCTATGATCCCACACAATTATAAATGGTATAATATATTATAACATTAATTTTCACTTCAATCACAGTTGGTGCCATCTACAGGAATGATACGTAAAAACTCTCACTTGCGGATTGGACGCTACCACCAACACTTGCATGAGTTACTGGATCTAGATCTTTCCCCACTGGACTACATGCTTAAAGAGTTCCCCGAAGTACGCGAGCGAGAAGAGATGAGGAAGATAATAGGAAGATATGGACTTACTGGTCGACAACAGGTAATGCAGCATTGCTAACTTATCATGTTATTTGTAACGGTACTTTTTGATTAATTTGAATACCACCAAAAACATAACTTGTAAAAAAAAAACAAGTCTCGCAACTCACCTAACCTAACAACATCTTATAGTTACCCATATGAATATTAGAAATCTTTTATGTTTTAATTACATAGATGGACTTGGCCATCGAATGAAAACAATGCATCTCACAAATAATACATATTATATTAAATTAGATTGGTTAATGCAATTGACAGAAATAACTAAAAATTATTGAATAACTCAAAAACGATTGGTCACACCTTGATCAAATTTTTATGGGACCACATGTGAAGCATCAGCTTTCAAATAAAAAAGAATCATCTAAATCGTTTCACCCAGAAAAAAGTTATGAGGTAACACACATAAAAAAAAACGTACAGTCGAATTGAGTACTTCCTCCTGTTTGAATTCGGTAGATAACACGATTAAAAATAAACTTAAAAAAAATTTAAAAACCGTCTTTAAAACTAAAAAGGAAAAAATAATTTGCTTTTTTAAAATCTTACCCTTCACTAAGGAATATCACAATTTCAAGGTAACTAGAATGTCGATTAAACAGTTACCATTTAAAATTTCATCCCCTATTTTTCTATCATTACAAGTTTAAACTATAATCGATAAATGAATAGAAAAAAATGTTTACTAGGTGGTTGGACTACTTTACTGTCTCTACTCCGTATTCTAGTCTGTCTGGGTTACCACCACGTCCTTACCTTAGTTTTGCTTGTATTCTGGTTCTGGTCTAAAAGGTATAGGGAACCAGTATGATTACAATCTGCGAGCCATTACGTCTCAGTCGTTAGGGGTGATAACGCATCTGCAGCTGCATGCTGTAGATTTGCATTCTTAATAACATTTAAAATTTGTTAAATATTCTCAGGTTTGTCCAATGCGTCAGCTCTCCGATGGTCAACGTTGCCGGGTGGTGTTTGCTTGGTTGGCGTGGCAGACGCCTCATCTTTTGCTACTGGACGAGCCTACTAACCACCTGGACATGGAAACCATAGACGCACTTGCCGACGCAATCAACGAATTTGACGGTGGCATGGTGCTTGTCAGTCACGACTTCAGGCTCATCAATCAGGTAAAACTAAATTTATCTATGACCTACCCTGTTACCTTACTACCGATATTTTTTCATCAGGACCATGTTGATAGCAAGAACTTTAATCTATATATTCATATAAATAAAATTGAAATGTGTGTCTGTAATATAGAATTAACTGCCTTCTATTGAGTTCTAGGGTTTATTTGCATGGTTATAAAGACACAAATAAACACTTGCTGGCTGAACCAATTGTGATGAAACTTCCCAAATAAATATAAAGAGCCAGGAAGGATCTAGATATAGGATATATGAAAAAAAAAAGACGGGCGAATTTATATATTTATGAAACATGACCCAATTTATAGAGACTATATCTGATAGTGGTCATCCGTTTGTGCATTTCTAAAGGCACTGATTAATTATTTCAACTTAAGCCAGATATACGTGGTAGAGCCATGCTGCAGCTATATTAGTAGTATAGTTTTAGCACGAATGGGTCGGCTTGACCCAGGAAGGACCACACTCTCACTATCAGCGTAAAATAACAGTTAAATGCTGCTGTGTTTCGTATGGTGAGTGTAGAGAACCGGAGACCCTTTTTACTGGGAAAGAGGCATTTCATCTTATTTCTCATGGCTGACAATGCATCTGCGTTTTATTCGCATACAAGGATAGATGTAGATATCCATAGGCCACAGCAACCACTTAACATCAGATGTATTGTGTGCTTGCTTGTCACCGTTATCCTATATAAAAAAGCAAGTTAGCGTTTGTAAGTTCTCACAGTTCTCATTTTATGCGTAAGGCGTGGTTGAAGGTGATGGTTTGCAGTAGCCACTTACCACCATCAGGGGGATTTTAAGTTCATTTGTCACTTCAGGTTCAGTTTAAAAAATAAATAAATATGTGGTGTATAGATCAGTGTTTGTGCAAACAAAAAATGAATAATGTTATAACATATAATATATACGATTCCGGACGAGCCACAAACATTGGTTTTTGAACGAGCAACTCGCCTCCCGCTTATCCAGCGATGGAGGGTCTGCAACACCGCCGCTTCCACATTCGCTTTTTAATTTACGATTTCAAATTCGTCGACAATAGCCAGTGCTTAACCTTTTCTTTTACATTTTTTTAATATTAAATATGGTTTCCTTAATTCAAAAAATATACAAGAGCTATACAACCACAACAACCAGAAAATTAGTTAAACATTAAATACCAGTTTTATTTACTTACGGCATAAGAGAATCGCTCCTGATCACCAATCCACTTGCAAAGCCAAATTCTCCTAACTAGATGGGACGCCCATGTAATTAACTGTTAAAGGGCTAAAGAGGATGAGAAGGGTCTATTTTAGTTGCGTGTGGCGTCCTAAGCAGTGGAGTAGCCTGCCATAGAGCGGCCCTGTATCAAAATTTGTCGGGGGGCCCAAATGAAGGGTAGAGGTTTTTGCACAAAAGGAACAAAAACTCTCGCATTGAATTAAAATAATTATATATTGATTATAAGTTATTTCTTACAATGAATACTCCTAGGAACTAAGCTAGCCAAACAATTCACACCAACATCCTGTCCCATAGAAGTCCTTAGAATTTTTGCTTACATACGTTCGGGGCCTCTGTAGCCCGGGGGCCCCGTATCATTGATACGGCTGATACGGCGGTAGCTACGCCCCTGGTCCTAAGGTTATATATATATATATATACAGGCTGTCCCAGTAATGGTGGATAATCTGGTACGTACGTGTTCGGGAGGGGGTGAGGTGGCCTCGGTTCCTTAAAAAAAAATTCTACCCCAAACGGTTCACGCTCTACACCATGGTTTATAAAATTCCGAAAATTCGTACTTCTACTCACATTTGTGGTCATCACGTCCACAGTTTAATGCGTAGATCGGATTTTTTTTTCTTTTAATGTGTTCCCTAATAATGATGTTCCTAAATTACCCTTAAGGCTTTAACTAGCCTGAATGACCTTGACGAAACGGCGATCGCAGAGATTTTAGCCGATGTCAACACCGTCTTGCAACTACGTTCTGTATTACTTATAAAAGTGCAAAGATTAATAGACTGCAGAGATGACAATTATATAAGTGACATACTGCCTGTTATGCTTGCGCATCACTGAGAATTATGTCGTGGTTACGCATCTTCAATTACATTGCACGGTGTGGTGCTGTAGCTTTGTCCGGTAGGCATCACGAGCTATCAAGTGTTCAAGTATCAAGTACGTAAGAATTTTTATTATATATATTAAATCGTATTTATTTGTGTCGTATTGAAAATATGTCGTCAAAGCGTTCGCTGTAAATTTTCCCGGGTTTGATCCCCGACAGCACGAATGAGATTTGTAATTGCAATTTTCGTCAACGCGCATTGGGGAAGCACGGCGGGCATTTCCTTGCCCTAAAACCCTCTCAGAAATAAAAAAAGAGTCCTGTGCCCAGTAGAGGGACTTGTATAGCCTATTACTTTATTTTGTAGCAATATTTATATTCGTTTCAGATATAGAAGGGTACCTTATACTGACAAAAATATCATGTGGAGGCGACGAAAACGTAAAACATCTTTGTACCTAGATAAAACGTTCGAAAGATTGTCAGTCATGTCATACGCCACATTTTCTATAGAGCGTAGAACATTGCAGATAGGGCAAAATAAAATATAATCCAATATATTATGGGAACTATTTATTAATAATATATACATTTATAGGTATTTATAATAAAAATAATGAACAAGTTGCAAGATTCAACTAATCATGTTTTTTGTAAACACAATCGTAAAATTCCTGTTTTAATTTTTACCAATGGTTAATTGATGAAATGTAGTCAAGATCACTTCATATAAAATATATTTGATTAAAATTGACACGTGACCTATTTGGCCTTCTACTTACAACTCGGCGGAAATTTGAAAAGAAGATTTTGTCTTTTCACACAAGTATTGTTTACAACTGGCGTGGTTTCGAAAAGCGTGATTAAGTGTCAGCGGTATATAATCAATTAAATACTGAACTTTATTGAAATTTATTTTTTTATTTATTTTTGTATTTATGTATTACTTCTTAAAAACTGACGCCATCTCACTATTTTATTATTTGTTTTTTTTGTACGCATAAGGATAAATTAGACTAAGTTAGATGAACTTGGATAAGTTTATATTTTTTTTAATTTTATCACAACATTTCCGCAATAAATTATTACCTTTTCTACAGTGATTCTCTCCTCTTAGTTTCGGCGTGACTGTCGGATCTTATAGTGAGTCACCGTCAGTTACTAAGCGGCCATAAATCATTATATGTACGAGTATGTATAGACATACATATATACATTTTTTGATTTTAATATTTATGTTTTTTGAATTTTGATTGATATTTTGAAACCTGGTAAAATTACTTTTTTCCATACCAATTGATGGGCCTGAGTATAATGCCAGTTATGGTCTTTGGCTGAAGTTATTTTTTTATGCTCAATTGCAGACAAAACAATATTGATTGCGCATATCTAAAACAAAATTTTACCTCTTCTCATTCTAATAATAGCTCCTGCACCTAACACGGCGGAATAGTTATTATTATCTATAAGACCATTTGGGAAAACAGTTTTTGTTAACAGTTATGAGTGTAACATTTTATCAGCTGCTTTGTTTATAGTGCCTTGAGCAACACTTTGCCGGTTTCTGTACAGAAAATGATGCTGGCTTTGCAAATACGGATGGCCGCTACCATTGAATATAATTCCCGCTATGTTATACTTATTTACATAGAAACTTTAATTATCATTTGCATAAAATTCTAAATAGCACTTTTTACACAAGAAAGTAAACTTTTATATCAGTCCATTTTGTTTTTCACTAATTAAGTAAAAAGTAAAACAAACCAATAGGGCCGGGAATTAAAATTTCTTGCAACTTTTTATAGAAAAGCATGACCTTATCATAATATAAAAGTAAATCATTTAGCCATGTGATAAAACTTTTAAGTGTGCCAGTCAAATATTAATGATGATATTCAGGTCATTATACTGGAAATAGTCTTTTAAATATTTTGTAGTACAATTGATAATCTTCAGTATGATTGACCGTGTATATGACTTTTATAAGTCTATGTTATTTTTGATGAAAATTATTATTGCAGATAAAAGCCCTTTCACATTTATTTTAGTCTCGAATTAAATTAATCAAAATGAAAATAATAACATTGGCTTTTTATAACTGATCTTTAAATGTACAACACTGACCTGAAATTATATAATTATTGGCATTTTTTTAATTCATTGAACTTTTTTAAGATTTTGTTAAAACTCTACTGGTAAAAAAAACAAACAAATATATATATATATATATATATATAGTTCTTGATGAAAATAATGTATGCGCGTTACATCGCATCCCATCAAGAATTTGTAATGTAATTCTTGGTATAAAGCTAAGACGTGATAATAACTGTAAACAATAGAATAACAAAATAATGAAAACATTTACATTTACATACAAAACATTTACAAAAATATTTGCTTTATAACCTTATAAATATTATTTGACCGTAATAAAATAAAACAAGGTAGTCTTGGGCATGAAAGTAAAAATAAATATTTTCGATTATTTTGCAATATCTAACAGCCGGATCAGCGGGCGATTCTGATCCATCTAAAGATGCTAAATTTCAGCAAGCACTGTCAAATTCAATAGGAGTGACAGAAAAACGGTTCTTGATATAGAAAGGTAAATAAATTATTTAACCTATAAAGTAAAATGACTTTATTACAAATCAAGATAGCCCAATAGCTTCATTAACATGAGACATAATTGTACGAGTGCTTACAATACTTAACATTATTTTACTGAAATCTCAGAAAGTTTTTTTTAAATAGAATAAGGGTGACAAACGAGCACACAGTCCACCTGATGGTAAGTGGTTGCTACGGCCCATACACATCTACATCTATCCTCGATTACGTATCAAAATGTAGATGCGTTGTCACCCGTGAGGACTAAGATGTAATGCCTCGTTTCCAGTAAAAAGGTCCTCCGGTTATCTACACTCACCATACGAAACACAGCAGGGTTAAACTGCTATTTTACATGTTATTCCGTGAGAGCGTGGCCCTTCCCCGGTCGAGCCGACCCATTCGTGCTACAACTATACCTAATAAATATAGCTGTAGCATGGCTCTACCACGTAAAAAAAAATTGACGTTGAAAATTTATGTATTTTTAGAAGCAACTTTGCAATTATTTTCTATTGAGTTAATTTTTGTGGAATCGTGTTTTGCAAACCGCCACCTGAAATACGTACATTTTTTTTTCGATAATGACGTGAAATTGCAAAACCATCCCCATGCATTTCAATGTGGCTCTATTCAGCCTCTTAATATGAACATACCTCGGATTTCAGAGATAATGGAAGATATAATATTATATTATTACTGTTCCGTGTGAGGCAACCTTTATACTTATATACATATTCTCATCATATTTTTATGGTTGGTTAGAAAAATTATATCTAAATGCAAACTTTCACAGGGAAAATTTTTTTTTTTACTATTTTTACACAGCAAGTAGTAAAGCAACTACAATCCCATCGGTAAGTGGTTATGTAGTCTAAGATGGTGAATTGCACTGACTTAACAAAAACCTATTCACTCTTGCCTAATAGTACTAGGTAAGTATTATTTGCGACCTATTTGTGTGTGTGTGTGTGTGTGTGTATGTGTGCGTGCGTGCGTGCTTGCGCGCGTGTGCGTGTGTGTGTGTGTGTATGTGTGAAGAAAAGCGTATGAGAATACGTGAAGAGGAATAAAGGTTGAGTACTAATTCGCTTACCTGTACGAGGTTGCCACTCGAGGACCTTTCTTCCTATTTTTTATATGTTTTCCAAGTTATATAGCTAGCCCATTGCCATTTCACTGTAATATTCCGTAGAGCTATGTCAGTTACTCTGGTTCTAATGCAAATTCCTTCATTTCTAACTTTATCACGTAGAGAAACCCCTCTCCAATTTAAAATTTTTACATTTTTTAGATGATAGTTTGTCTAACAAAAACAAAACCATAAATCCAAGAATGTCTTTATATAGTTATTTATACTTAGGTAAGCACCATTCTTTTATTTATTTAAATCGTTTGATTTAATTTGATAACAGTGTACGTAAATGTAAGTATCTGTATCTGTATTTCTCTCCCCAATAATATTTTATAAAGTCATACTTATAAAAACAGCGTTTTATTGTAATACATAATTATAAAATTCATTATCAACTAATTAATAAAAATATGCAACAATAAAATTACATAGGTATTAAAAACTATCGCAATCTAAGTAACGAGAGCATGTTCGTCGTTCCACATCAAAATCATATAAAAATGCATTTTTCAATTTCACTAATCAACGTCGCCGCAAAAATTTCTTCTTCTTTGGGCACTTTAAAAATTCATTTATTTAGAAAATAATATTTACAGTTACCAGTGTACAGATATTAACTAAATTAAGTATTTCCAGTCATAAAAATATTTATAAATGAGTATAAACTTTTAAAAAACTAATATATATTTGAACGAAGTCGCTCCAACACCGACGTACGGTCCACCCTCGACGATGTCCGAAAACGGACTGTGACAGAGCTTACATGGCGACGGAGCATGCGCGCTCGCGTAAATATATTCAATTTCAGGGAAAAATGATATATTCTCTTATAAAACGGGGAATAAAAATAAAACTCTCAATTAAAAATATTAATATTTTTAAGACCTTTTTTTTAGTGTAAGAACTATTCAAAAAGCTTGTGCCGTTTTGGAGAAATTTTGCAAAATATGACAAAGATAGGTACTCTTTGGGGATTTTTTTTCTAATAAGGGGTTGACAAAAATACAATTTTGTTAAATTAAAAACATTTACTAAATCTTCTTCTGTTACCCTGTATTTTTTCTTTGTGGATTAAATGAACAGTTATTGAGATTTTTTTACTTAAATATCCTAGATTTAGGCATTTCAACCACTGTTAAGGCCTTAAAAGTTCTCAACTACTATGGGTAGTATTTTACAAGACGGCACTAAACATAAGTTTAAATTTTTTTACTTTATTTATCTGCTAAGTTTGAGCACCTGTGGTGAAAAGAAACTTATGGGATCTGTGTGGCCAACCATTTAAAAAGTTTGCCTACATCATGAGGATTCTAAAACATTAGCATACTATTTACTTAATATCATTACTTACTGAGTTATAGCCGTTAATGTGTATAAGTAGGCATTTCATTACAAAATTATTTGCAGATAATTTTTTTAACATTGCATGTCTTTATTAGGTAAAAGTACATCTGTCGCCCTTGAAAATTTTACTTTACTACCTGCTTGCCTTGTTTGGACGAATTCTAAGCTGTGTGAGCGAGACAAACGGTGCTTAGGATTAATGTGAGTGAAAAGTTTTGACAGATTCTCCACTGTATGAATTCATGATTGGAATTCGTGTTTGGTTATTGTTAAATATAGTTAGTCTCGACCTTCTTGACATCGCATGTGCTCTCTTATTTCGGACTCTTGGCTACAAAATACTATTTCGCATTCTATTGGACTCTTGACTTGTGCCAGATAAATAAAGTAAAAAAATTTAAACTTATGTTTAGTGCCGTCTTGTAAAATACTACCCATAGTAGTTGAAAACATTTAAGGGTAATTTAGGAACATCATTATTAGGGAACACATTAAAAGAAAACAAATCCGATCTACGCATTAAACTGTGGACGTGATGACCACAAATGTGAGCAGAAGTACGAATTTTCGAAATTTTACAAAACATGACGTAAAGCGCAAAACGGTCGGGGTAGAATTTTTTTTAGGGAACCGAGGCCACTGTCCGAACACGTACGTACCAGATTATCCACCATTACTGGGACAGCCTGTATATATATATGGCCATAGGAATATATTTCCTTTGATTTTGCAAGAGCCGACTAAAGGAAATGTCTGAAAAATTTTGTTAACTTCCGATGGATGTAGATGCAACCACCATTGTGTAATTATCAGACGTTGTCGTAAAATACCATGACTGACAATAGGGTTCTGCTTTAAAATTAACAGTGCCATACCGCACATACTGTGATCGTTTGTTTGGTTGTCAATCATGGCGATATTATAGTTATAATATTAGAGTGATATAGGCTGAGGTGGCTTGAGGATGATCTTTATGTTGTGATCGTTATGGACTGTTAGGCTGTTGTCACTTTCCATTATTTCTCAAGTCTGTGTCTGGCAGGTTTGACTCCTTGTTCTTCTTCGTCTGTTTCATTAACACGTAACAGCTCATTGATGTAGTATGAGTGAACACAGGTGTGAAATGAATTATCACTTTGTCATTGTTGGCTTCGTTTTCTATTTTGACTTCTGGTTTCGTTTTATTGACCTATAATCCCTACCGAACAAGATATGGCAACAACACGGTATATCCTACTTTACTAAATACTTATTTGTCAATACTTAACTATCCATGGATAATATGTTAATGTGTATAAAATATTTTGCGTACAGGTAGCAGAAGAGATTTGGATTTGCGAAAATTCCACCGTAACCAAATGGAACGGCGGTATCCTGAAGTACAAGGACCATCTCAAGTCGAAGATTTTGAAGGAGAACGCTGACAACGCAGCGAAAATACGCAAATAATATAGCCAAATGTTTAGCTTTCCACGTTTTAGATGTACGAATTACCGTCTCGGATATCCATAAAACTAGAGACTAACATTTTCAAAACAAAACTGTTCATCAACAATATCCTAGAAGCATTGACCTCTATTATACAAGTACGATGGACAGGCTTATACACCATGACATGATTGACAATGAGGTGATTTGATTTTCGCCATTTTTTCGCTGATAGCAGAAGTGAGCGTCCACGGAAATAATAATAGAGACAGTGTGACAAAATATATTGATAAAAATTCTATACCCAGGCCTACCATTTTATTTATGTATCATTTTAATATAATGCCATACAATAAATAAATGTATCAACTAAAACTAATACTCATGTCGTAGACACAAGCTTTTATATCTCATATAAAACAAAAATCGACGATGCGTTAGTCTATCTACGTTTTTCTTCGTAACTATAGAACGGGTTTTGTTCCGGTTCGCATCGGGTATATTCGGGTATCGTCCATTCAGGATATTTAAAAATGTTCAATGAGTAGGAAAAACGAGTAGGAAAAATAAAAAACTTTTGTAAAGAATTTATTCTTAACCATTCATTTAGTTCTCGTACTAAAGAAATTCAATAATCTGCCAAAATAATGCCTACTTCAACAATATCTGTAGTACTATAGGCACAATAAGAATTTTACAAACTTTAAATTACTTTAAAGAATACCATACCACAAATCATTGACATTATAATCAATTTGCTTCGGACACCAATTCAAAAGTTCTATGCTTTTTAAGTCACAGTTTTAGTATAAAGTCAGTTAAAAACCTTAATAAATATTTGATAATTATCTGTTGTTAGCGATTTCCATTGTTGTAAACAGATATAGATTTTAGTCACAGTTTTAGTATAAAGTCAGTTAAAAACCTTAATAAATATTTAATAATTATCTGTTGTTAGCGATTTCCATTGTTGTAAACAGATTAGATAGAAAAAACATCCATAAGTATTACCGTGAAGGAACTTGTTAACCCTATTGAATTATAGTAATTACATATAATACCATAAGTGCCAGATTTTTAACAGCCTGTATTGTCAAATAGTTGTAATTTTCTATCGACTTCAAAGAGGAGACTGTACTCAATTCGACTGTATGTTTCTTTTGTCTTTATTTGTATGTGTATCTCATAACTTTTTTCTGGGTGAACCGATTTCGACGATACTTTTTTTATTTGAAAGCTGGTGCTTCTCATGTGCTCTCATATAAATTAAATCAAGGTATGTCCTAGTATTTGACTTTTTTGTTAAAAAATTTATATTGAAGTCGGTTCTACAAAATGTTTTCTTTTAAATTATTTAAAATAAACTGTAAATCCTCTTACTTGTGGAATGTAACCGCAGTTGCCTTCTGATAACGAATCATTGTTACTAAAATACTTTTTATTATATTACTAGCATGAAATATAACCGAACTACACAACACACAATTTTTCTCGTTTAAATCTTTAAAATACTTTTCGACGTTTTCAGCAAAATAACTGCCATTGCAAATTATGTCAAATTTAGTTCCCGGTACACTCCATAGCGGGGCTTCAAATCGGCACAAACGTTTTGGAAAGTATAGTCAGTCCAGCGTACTATATGTATATATATGAAGGTTAGGTCAGTGCCTAGAAGACAGTCGAATTTTTAATAATTTTCTTTAGTTATGACTATCGTGGGTCATAAAGAAATCTAAAGTCATACACAGATATGGCTAAGTGATAGCACCAAAATTTTCGAATACAAACGTTTTTGAACAGTTACCCGTTTAAACCGATAAATAGTGAAAATATACAACAAATGTTTTAACAATTAATTTTATATAGATAATAGTTTTATTTGCAATAAAAAATTTAACATCTCAGCTAAGCTTATTTTAAGCTATTTTATCGTATTTATTTCTTATTTATTTTATTTCTACATCATTTACAATAATATAATAAGAATTTATAGGTGCCTCTTCGATTTATGATCGAACTAACATAATATAGTAATCTATATATAAAAATCCATTGCTGTCCGTTAGTTTCGCTAAAACTCAAAGGCGGTTCGACCGATTTTGATGATTTTTTGTGTGTGTTAGAATGGGTCCCTGGATGGTTTAGACTCACAATTGGGTCTGGTAGGTGGGGGGCTGTTGTCGTGATCCAGAAAGCCCGTGCAAAACCGGGGCAGATCGCTAGTTTTAAATAAAATATCAGTATTTTATGAGATCCAATTTACCCTTGAAATTGGCCTGACGCATGATTGGTAAATTATGAACTAAGTTTGACTCGCCCTTGAATTTAGAAAGTTTAATTAGTTTAACAAATAAAGTGATCGTACATTGTATTTGTTTTATTTTTCATAGTTTAACTGTGTTAGAAACTGCTTTCATTTATTAAAAAATAAATGTACACTAATTAGTAATGACTAAAGAGTGCCTTATAAAATATTCATGACACGCATTAGAAGTAGTTATACGCGGGCGACACTGAAAGATTTTAGAACAGACCACTTCTAAACGATATAATAAAAAAATAAGTTCAAATTTTGAAAATGGAACTATGCCAATATTATTATGTATGTATTTTATTAATTTGTCATTTGTTTACGATTTGGCTTCCTGTATATACTTATTATACTCTTTGGATTTGGCGGCAAACTGAAAATTGTCTATGTCACGGCAGCATGAATTTAACGCGAAATTTTCGTACAATGATTTTTTACAACTTTCGATGTCATTTAAGTGAACAAGAAAGTTATGATAGAGTCCGATTAGCCTTTCACGATGAAGCCCCATCTCGTGCCACTGTTTACATGAGCTTAAACGTGGTCGCACTAATCTCGCCGATGATCTGCGTGAGCGACGGCCTTCTACGGCGACTACTGAAGATAACATCAGTGTTGTGCGGCGCATGATAGAGACTGACAAAAGAGTGTCTTATAAGCAGATTCGGACAGGCTTAGGCATCGGCATGAGTCATGTGCACAAAATCCTCCATGAACATTTAGCGGTCAGGAAGCTTTGTGCCCGGTGGATACCTCATAATTTGACAGAGGCTCAAAAACTCCGTCGTGTTGATTGATGTCGTGAAATGGTTCAAAGATTTAACGGAGGTGACTCAAATACTGTATTCGACATACTTACGGGTGACGAAAGCTGGATTTATTGTTATGATCCTGAAATTAAGAGACAGTCTGCTGTCTGGGTGTTTCCTTCCGAGGAGTTGCCAACTAAAGTGAAGAGAGGTCGAAGCGTGGGAAAAAAGATGGTGGCCTCGTTCTTCGGAAGGATAGGTCATTGCGCAACAATGTTTCAGAGGATCGAAAAACAGTTACTGCAGAGTAGTACACTAACAATTGTTTGCCACTTGGAAAAAGTTCAAAAGAAACGACCTCGCAGTAGGATCCTCCACCACGACAACGCCTCATCGCACACCGCTAAGCAAACAATCGACTATTTGGCGACGTAAGACGTGGAATTCCTGGGTCACCCGCCCTATAGCCCCGACCACCTTGCGATCTTTATTTATTTCCGAAAATAAATGAAAAACTTCGAGCAAAACCTGTTATGAACGCCGACGAAGCAGTGGCTGCGTTTCAAAATGCCGTCGAAGAGACCCCTAAGGACGAGTGGGCAAAGTGCTTTTCTCTGTGGTTGCATCGATTGCAGTGATGTATTGATGTAAATGGACACTATTTTGAAAGGATAAAATGAAACTAATAACTTACTAGTTTGTTCAGTTTTTGATTTTCTAAGAACTTTCAGTGTCACCCTTGTAGGTATTCAAAGCAACAGCAACGCCGCCCTGTGTCGCATCAGGTCTCGATGCGACACAGGGTACCCTCGCTGCAACATCACCTGCTTTGCTTGTACTAATAGAATTATCATGACGGTCAGAATAATGGCGACCCCTGGATAATAAGTCTTAATCGTTTTGGAATGACCTAAGCTAGTTGCTTGGGTAGTGCTGTAGTAGTGTATACTTGAACGAGTGGGGGAGATTCAACGCTTATTTGTTTTTACCCTCATTCGAAACAAGTAATTTATTCGATTACCAGATTATTTGATGATGTCGATAATGCCCTATTTTTTGGTGCTGGATGTACTAAGCACATATATAGATCTTTTTTATCTGTGCTATGTTACTATGCGTCATTGTTCATACTGAGGTAGTTCTAACATATACGTCATAGATATACGAGTAGAATAGGATGCAGTGCCAGAGACAGAAGAATACGCAGTCCCGAAATCCAACGATTTATGTTTTAAGACGTGTACAGTCTCTCGACTACTAAGAAAAACAGACGCAACGAGAACGAAAAAGTTACGGTCAATTCCCCGTCATTCCTTAACCGGTTCAGTGCGGATGACACGACAGGCGTGCCATCGATTACTTTTGTGTGTGGCGTATGACACATGAGTCGTGTCTTTTTAAAAATCGTTATAACTCGCTCGAATTGCGTTTTTGGAAAATTTATCCAGAACAAAATATTCATTATTTTGCAAGTAGTTCATGCATGCAGCTTCGTTTCTGGATATTTTGAAAATTTGAAATTTTTAGGGGTTGACAACCTTTTTTTGACTTGTACATGGTACTCTTTTTACTTTGTGGGTTTTCAATCATGTTGTGGAAAAATAGTTTAATAAGTAACAAATAATAGCACTCATTGCGATCGCTCATAAACTCAAGTTGTAAATAAATTTCTGGAAAACCAGTCTCCTGTTAAAAAACAATGCGTTTGTCTTATTGTTTAAAATAGTTGAACTGCCGTCTTATTACTATCATATGGCTGAATAGACCTACGAAGTACCATGTGCTCTGTGATATGGTATAAGGTTTATTTTTGCTTGAAACAGTTTGAAACCGTTCATGCATAAAAAAAGTTCGCTAATAAATAGTCTTTCGTGTAGATGGCGGATAGACTAGGTACGACTAACCGCAGATAAACGATATTTTTACTTGGTATATATATACTTTGTAATCACTTTCACAAA